TGTCAATAATGTGTAAAATATGCTGGTGTAAAATTAAAATTAACAAGACGTGTTTGTGAAATACATGTACTATGCGCCCGGTGGCAAACAAAGTTCGAAAAAGCTACTTTTAGCATATAGGTCACAGTCAAGGTCACAAGGTCATTGACCTTGGTATCATATGAAAGAATTTAATTGGTGAAGTATGCATATTAAATACCGTATAGCAGGTTATTTAAGAGGGGTGCTAATTTTGGCGTTTTGATGATAGTTCGCAAAAATTTTAATCGCTAAAATAGTAAATTCTATTCTAAATGTTCATCTGCAAAGAGCTGAAGCTCTGAGTCCGTTGAAAAAAATTACGCCAAAATTAATGGCATACCTTTGAGCAAGTAAAACGCCAAATTTTACAATCGCCAAGAAAACTCGCTATACGGTCTCTATCTCTCCTGGTTCAGAAGTTACGCTGAAGGTTCGAGAAAGCTATTTTAAGCAGATAGGCCACAGTCAAGGTCACAAGGTTAGTGACATTGTTGTCATTTGAAAGAAAGGTTAGTGACATTGTTGTCAATTAAGAGAACATAATTTGTAAAGTATGCATATCAAATATGAAGGACTGTCTATCTTTAATGGTTCAAAACTTGTGGCGAAGGTTAAAGTTGACAACAGACAGACAGACAAACAGACTGGACAAAAACAATATACGCCTCGAATCCATCGATTCGGGCGCATACAAATTAAGAAAAGTAGATCCCTCCTCCTCGATAAATTTGTAATTAACAATATCCATCTATTTTTATTACTTAATATATGGCACGTTAAATCATGAAATGATACATTGTTCACTCACTTCTAAGCTTTGTTTCTACAAGGTTAAATTTTAATCTGAGACGATGGATTGCTTAATTTACAAGTGGTAGAGTTGTAGTGAATGTTACTGATAAAAAAAAAAACAGCTCGAGAAAAATGTCAAGTGGAGATGTTCCTTAAATAAAATAATCAGTCTAAATAATTTCTAGAATTCAACCGATAAACATGTATAAGAAAGTAAATTTGATTTTATTAATTGGTAGGGTTTTGAAATAAAAAAAAGAATCTGATGACTAATCTATCCTATTCTCCCATCATTTTTCCAAAACATCTGAGAAAATGATATTTTATAATTAAATTCATGAAAGCTCCTGTCAAATCCATGTTCATGTCTGTAAGTGAAGATCAAGATTCCTGAAAAACATTACTTAGTCTATATGCATAATACTTCGCGAAAGTTAGGCGTTAGTTCCCAATGTTTCGCGTTTTAAAACGAAAGTTACGCGTAATGAGCGAAAGTTTCCCGTTATATCGCAAAAGGTTTGCGTCATAAAGCAAAGTAACGCAAAGGTTTCGCGTTATAACGCGAAAGTTTCGTAATTCTCCGCGTAAGTTACGCGTTATAACTCCACAGTTTTTGTGAAGGTTTCGTGTATATTTGCCAAAGTTTCGCGTTCAACGCGAAAAAAATATTTTTTTAACCTACGAAAATGAGCCCAATAAACTTTCGTAATTGATTAAAAATCTATACATATATTTTAATAAATTTTGCAGATAAACTCCATAAGGCAGCTGCTTACTTCTCAAGAAATATACTAGGTTTAAGTTAAAGTCCAAAAGTTTTATTGAGATTAGGTGCAGCAGTGTCGGAGTTTATTTGCAAGATTATTTAAATATAAGAATAAATATTTAAAGGAACTAGGCAAATATCTTGTCATGGGAATTTGGCATTAGTTGTGTTCAACTTGAATGTAATTAACTGAAACTTGTATTTTGATTTATTCATTGTATATATTATTTAACCTCCCTCTCGCGAATTTTTCACTTATCTGGAGACGCCTCCACTTGCCGGTGGAAAGCTGCAAATTTTGTCCTGTACTCGGCATTCAGGGCCATTGAGCAGGGAGGGATTTTTTTTTTTCGTGCTAGCACCTACTGCAACACGGGATCTCAGATTATATGGTCTCGTCCGAAGGACTGGGGGTCGTAACATAAAGGCTACTTAAGTCTAAGACCGTGCTTAAGTAGGACTTAAGTATGGTCTAAAACTTAAGACCGTAACTAGAAGCGTGCTAAGATTTGACAATCTTAGCAAAACTTAGGCGGTCGGAAGAGGTGACTTAAGTATATCTTAACTTTCTTATACATCTATTCAAAACTATTTTATGCTGACTTTCGGTGTTAAACCATTCCTCTATTCATATTATGCATTAAAGAAAATAATAATTCCTATTAAATACTATTATGATAATTTTTTGCGTCGGGGTGGGGGGGGGGGGGTTACTGATCAATGATTCAACTATTACTCTCAAGACATCGTACATGAAAATGCAAAATTTAATTTGGGGGATTCCGGACCTACCTAGATCGGTATAAACACTAATCCACTATTCATTATAAGTAAATTGAACACGTACAGTAATAGTCTAATTCATGGATCTGTATGTTGACTTTGAAAATATGAGATGAAATAGATTTTTAAACATAGAAAAATGTTGTGGAGTAAGGGGATGATGACCAAAAAACTAATAAAGAGTGTCTGTAAATTAAAATAAATGTAGAATGACAAGCGCGTATTTAGGCAGGGTTTCCTAGAGTTCGATTGATTGATCAAGAGACAGAGCTAGGTGGGTGAGAGAGAGAGAGAGGGGTAAATGGGAAAAAAAGATGTCCTGAAAGAATTTCCACTTTTGATGTAACTGTAAATAATTATAACCACTCCAATCTTTGCTTGCTGACATGGACTGAGACATCGGGGGGGGGGGGGATTCAAAATGTTTTGCACTTTTTTAGAGTTTTAATTTCAAGTATACAGACGTTCGGTTATTTTGTCATGTCTACGAGAATAACAAAGCAAGTGAACATTTGTCAAAACAAAAGAACAATAAACGGTAACTGAAAACATCGCAGCTTCGGGGGATAAACAGTAGTCATACATTTACGATGAACCACAGATCACCGTTATGTGACCGCTCAGTATTTTTTCTTAATCAAATATGCAGTGTATTTTACAGCAAATTAAATTATATCTTTAATATAAAATCTAATCTTACATAACTAAAACGATAGGTAAGGACGTTAACCTTTATAAATATTTAATTAAAACGTAACCGAATCATTTTGTAGCAATATATCTGAATAAAATGAAAAAATATAGGGTGATTCATAAGAAGTATTTTGAACATAAGTTTGACTTAGCTAAGACCTTCCTAAGTTCGCTTTATGTTACGGTTTAAGACATACTTAAGTAGTACTTAGGCAGGTCCTAAGATTGTGCCTAAAACGTACTTATGACCCTACTTAAGTCAAAAACTTAGCAAGCTTTATGTTACGAGCCCCTGGTCTCCACATTTGGATTCGAATCCGCGACGTAAGGATCAACTCATTACTTCGCAACTCTAGAGAAGACGTCCTAATCACTTGTAATTTGAAATTGTTTTAGTCTATATGTTGTGATATTTCTTCATTTTATTAAATTTGAATTTTAATTCTCCGGTCAATATATATTTTTGGGAGAGCTACAGTACTGTAACTATTAAACAATATATACAGTCACGTAAACTGTGTTTCAGGGTAGATTCAAATTTCTCATATTTGAAAAAAAAAATGATATGAAAGTATGACCAAATTGTATCACCGAGATAAGATTATACGTATGAAATGTTATTGTAAGACAAGTTAGAGAATTTGAAAGATAACGACACTATTCACACTAACCATGTAAGTGCACTAATTTATAATCAGTTCTTCAACCCCTAACTTTTACCAAGTTTTCTTTCATATATAAATCTAACAACGATGGTCTTAACTGCATGTATTTAAACAAGCATTCTGAGAGTATTGCATAAGCAATACATGTCCCCTACCGGGTTCCCCTTTTTCTTCAGGATGTCATTTTATAATATGCAAAAGTCATGTCCAAGGTAAAACTGAAAGCTTTTCAAGTTGTACCTGCCTTAAAACTAATAAAATAATCCATATTAAAACGAAAATTCAACTCATTTCTCCACTATCTTTTCCTCGCATCATATTTTTGTCGACAATCGGAAGTTAGCGCAGTTGGAACCCGATTTAATTAAGCGATTATGAAAAATATTCAAAATGCCATAATTCTGTCAAAAATCAATGAAGCGAAGAGAAATTCAAACTTAATCTGTAAATCACACACCAAAATTCAGCTCAATATCTGCAAGCGTTTAGAAAAACCAGAAGTCTCTGTCGAGACTGAAGCTCTACTGGTTTGTACGTATAGCAAAGGAAGAGAAAAGTACTTAAGCAGTTGGAAATTGAAACTTTTCTACAGCAATAAATAGAATAATGATCCTTGATTAAGTCTCTTTATGTTCTTAGTGCAGTCTACTTGCATGCCACATTTATATTATAATCAGACTAAAATTGTATTTGGAGTAGCATTTTGAAAGAATTTCACAGAAATTTCTATTTTTAGTAACCACGGCATCAAAAACCGATACACAGAATTATGCATCTTATTGTAGTCTACTTGTGTGCCAAGTTATATTGAAATCAGACTAAAACTGTAGAAGGAGTAGCATTTTGAAAGAATTTCACAGAAATTTCTAATTTTAGTAACCACGGCAACACCGTTCATCGAAATCAAAAACTGATATACAGAATTGTGTATCTTAGTGTAGTCTACTTGTGTGCCAAGTTATATTGAAATCAGACTAAAACTGTAGGAGGAGTAGCATTTTGAAAAATTGTTTACAGACAGACAGACGGACGGACGACGGACGCATTACTATTGCATAAGCTCTTCTGGTCTCTGACCAGTAGAGCTAAAAATGCGGAAAACCAAGTGGGACAGACAGACGGGGACAGACAGACAGACGGACGCAAAGGAAACCTATAGTCCCCCCGGTTTCACCGGTAGGGGACTAATAAAAGCAGTAAAGACAGAGAGTGCAATAAGAGTGTAAAATATGAGGTCTCGCAATGACTTTCGATTAAAATGCTTTTTTTTTTTATTTCAGAGTCTTCCGCCATATGTCCTCCTGGTTGGTTTCACCATGGCAACTCTTGCTATTTATTCTCCAGTGACACCCTACCTTGGAATGAGTCCTCGGTAACCAGCATACTATATATCTGTAACAAACGCTATCTCCGTATACATATTGCAGAAGTAAAACTACATTATGATTAAGATGACATGCAAGTAACCACTAAGTGCATCTTTTCAGAGATTAATTGAAAAGTTAGGCCGGAAGTCCTAGTGAATACTGAAATAATTATTGATAAGCTTTGTTTTTAAATATTATTTAAAAAATTGAATTTGTATGTATTATAGCATTGAGCAATAAATAAGTGGGGAAAAACCCTGAATATTTACCTATATGTTGCTGCCAACATAAATGATTTATCGTTTTATAAATTATTACCGTTATTTTTTTTTAATTTGAACTTTAAGGATACATGCAGTTCCATCGGTGATGGTTTAGTCGCCATTGAGTCTCAAAGTGAAGAGACTTTCTTACAAAATAGACTTCACTATGAATTTGGTAAGTGTAAATGTGTCATATGTATTACAATACATGTTTTTAACTCAATATCAGATATTTAGAGCCGTTCTTTGTAATGCCTTGAACTTTATTATAGCAGCTGTGTGGCATAGTCTCAGAATTTCTCCAAAATATCTATGAAGTCTTAGATACCCTAAACTAATTTCGGGTAAAAATGGATTGCTATGTGTAATAGTTAACATGGCAACATGTTTTAAAGATGGCAATTTTAACATGTTTAGAGCCCAAAAGTTAAAATTTGCATCGAAGCTAATCCGAAATTCCTCTGACTCCAACAATTTCAACCAAACTTGGCACAAAGTACATGTACAAGTATGCTTAGTTGAAGGGGATTCAGGTTTGTTCAAATGAATGACCACGCCCTTAATCAAGGGGAGATAATTGAGAAATAGTGAGAATTTGATGGTATGTTTTAAAAATCTTCTTTTCAAGAACCACTGTGTCAGGAAAGATGAAACTTATAGGGAAGGTCCTCAGGTAGTGTAAATTCAAGTTTCTTAAAAACATGACCCCCGGGGGTAGGGCGGGGCCAAAAATGGCCGATCAAGGTTGTGCATAGAAATATATAGGAAAATTCTTTATAAATCTTCTTCTCAAGAACAACTGTGTCAGGAAAGATGAAACTTATAGGGAAGGTCCTCAGGTAGTGTAAATTCAAGTTTGTTAAAATCATGACCCCCGGGGGTAGGGCGGGACCACGATGGCCGATCAAAGTTTCACATAGTATACAGGAAAATTCTTTAAAAATCTTCTTTTCTGGAATAGCAAACGCATGAATGATCATATTTTTATGGAAGCATCTTCAGGAAGTGGAGATTCAATTTTGTTCAAATCATGACCCCGGGGGGTAGGACGGGGCCACAAAGGCCGATCAAAGTTTCACATAGAAATATATAGTAAAATTCTTTTAAAATCTTCTCTGGAAAAGCAAAGGCAAGAATGATCATATTCTTATGGAAGCATCCTCAGGTAGTATATTCAAGATTGTTCAAATCATGACCCCTGGGGGTAGGGCGGGGCCACAACATGGAATCCAAGTTTTAGATAGAAACATGTAGAAAAAATCTTTTAAAATCTTCTTTTCAAAAAAAAAAAAAAAAAGAAGCCATGATTAGTTCTATTCACATGAAAGCATTCTCAGGTAGTGTAGATTCAACTTTGTTCAAGTCATGACCCCTGGGGGTAGGGCAGGGCCACAATGTAAGGTCAAATGTAAAGGGCAATAAAGCCACCTCATCAGGTAGTCAAAAGAAATATGCAAGCATCCTTAGTTAGTGTAAATTCAAATTTATTTATTGAATCATACCCTCTCCCTTTTAAGGATTGTTTGGGACCACTATTGGGTTTCAACTTTTCAATAATAAACTGATTTATGCTTTTTTCCTGGCCACATTGCTCAGGTGAGAACCATGGGCCTCTTGTTATTTTATAGATCTCTTGGTCATTCTTTTTAAAGCCGCTTGGTCCGATTCTAATCGCTAAAAATATATTCGTTTTTCTTCTTGAAAAATAATTGTCCATAAATTATTTCAACTTTTGTCAAATTATATCCCAAAAGTCTTTTTCTTTTTAAAGATATCAAAATTCAAAAGTTAAAAAAATAATTTTTATTAGGTCACACAATAAATAATCCTTTGTTGGCATTTGTTGACATTGCGTGAAGTCACCTTTGAAAAATTAAATTTATCGCTTACATGTATAACTCATGAAGAACAAACCCGAGCATTTTTTTTCCACAACAAAGTGTACATGTACACGAGTCCTCGTTATTAAACCCCCTTTTTAA